TTGTAGTTGAGCATTAAATTGTGTAATGACACAAGAAGGCTGCCACCTGCTGTCTTATTTCACCCGATTTTATACAAAAATAGCACTTGTGCATTTAGCGGAATAAAGATTGGTGATGTTAGACAGTTTTCAAAGGTCAACAGAGGCATGTGATAACATTACACAAAGCATAAAATCCATATCAACAGTGTTACAAGTTACAACTGAGGAACCAGCAATACCATATGATACCTCATCTCTTGTGCTGCATCATTCAAAAATCAATGTTCCGCTGAAAATGTAATATAGTACAGCTGACAACCTACTGACCAAAAACTCATTGATAGATTTGATTTTATCTTACAATGTACAGCGAAGTGAAAATACTTGTCTCAGGTGACAGGCCCACGTTGTTAGGTTGGACAGGCCCCTTGTCATACCCACATATCAAACCTGCAAATGGCTGGAATCTACTGCTAATACGTTGTGGTACGTACCCCTTAGCTTTGACAAAGGGGGGCTTATTACAAATTAGTCATTTAACAGCCTTTTGTTTATTTACAGGATGTATCTCACCCCAAATAAACGCACCTGATCAAAAGGCAGGTTTTTCTGCTGTTTGCACTATGTGTAGTTAGGAGCACTTAAAAGGACTGATTGTTGAAAAACCACAAACCACTTGGCATGCACCAGGAGTCCATATTTTGGAGATGTTGGTTGTCATGATCTTGGCTGTAAAGTGACAATTCCCAGGATTGATTGTTGAAAAATCACAAACCACTTGGCATGTACCAGGAATCCATAATTTGGAGATGTTGGTTGTCATGATCTTGGCTGTAAAATGACAATTCCCATTCACCTCCTTTTATACCTTAATTGTATTTTAGTACTCTTTACAACTTTGATTAACTACGGCTCTTCTTTGTTGTTTATTTTGTTTGCATCAGGGCTGGCAAATTCCAGGGGCCAAGTATTAATTTTTCCTTAAAAATTATGAAGCCTAAATTTGACCATAAATGGGTCATTTTTTGGATCAGCCAGCTGAAAAAAAAACTAAAATAACATATTTTGAAAAAAAAAATATGTATGTATATATATATATGCAAGAAAAATATGTGAATATTATGGAGTTTTGCATGAATTGGGCATATGAATATAGTATAGTTTATATCTACACAGGCATTTACAAATGCCATAACATGTAAACATTCACAGTGCAGGGAGGAAAAAGTATGTAGGCCCTAAATGTCCCCTGGAGCCTGAGCCAACTTTTTAGTGTTATTGGATGTGTTGCACATGCCCTCCACACCACTTGTTTCAAGAAACACTGTCTAAAGTGAACCATGCCTGTCAGAAGCCATATTGTTTTCATCCAGTTCTAGCCTTTGACATCCTCCCTGATAGCACCTACTCTCCCTAGGCATGGTCCCTGAGTGAGCACAGCCCTTTGAGGCGTGCATTACAGAAATTTGCATGCTAACATTATGATCACAATAAGGAAAACATTGTGTCCTTCAGACACAGCTGATCACAGATCAAGCTACAGGCAAAATAACTGTACAGATGCCAATCACAGTGGCCCTTTACCATGTGATCAGCTTTGTCCAATCATTGATGGGAAAATGAACAGAGCTGATCACATGTCAACAAATACTGGTTCAGCATTTCCTTTTCTCAGCGCTGTCACATGCTGTGCATGACAGTCACACCAGCCTCATCAGTGCCCATCAGTGCAGCTGCTATCAGTGTCCAAAGCATATCCGTGACCATCTGTGCAGCATATCAGTGATCATTAGGGGTGCAGCATATCAGTGCTGCTTTATCATTGCAGCCTCATCAGTGCCTCCTTATCAGTGCCCTTCAGTGCAGCATATTAGTGACATCATGTGTGCCGCATATCATGCCACGCTGTCACAGAGTGACAGTGCCTATCATCAGTGCCCATGAATGACCATCTGTGCCTGTCATTAGTGCAGCCACATCAGAGCCTCCTCATCAGTGACCATAGTGCCGCCTCAGCATCGCCATCATCAGTCAGTGCAGCCACATCAGAGCTCATCTGTGCATCGCCATCAGTGCAGTGTCCATCAGTGCAGCCTCAGCAGTGCCCATCAGTGCAGCTTCATCATCACACTTCAGTGAAGAAAAAAATTACTAATTTTCACAATTTTATAACAGAAATAAAGAAAAATAGGTTTTTTATCCAAAATATTTAGTTTTTTTTTTTATTTGTTTAGCAAAAAATAAAACTAAGGGGAGATAAGGTAACACCAAAATAAAGCACTATTTGTGTGAAAAAAATGATACAAATGTCATATAGGACCAGTGTTGCATGATTGCACAATTGCCATTCAAAGTGCGACAGCAGTGAAAGCTGAAAATTGGCCTGGGCAGGAAGTGGATGGAAGTTCCCAGTAGGCAAGTGGTTAAAACAAACTGGCTCTCAACTTTTGTAGATGGTTCCCAGATTTAAAATTCAAAGCAAATTTGTCAAGCCCTGTATACATACTATATATATATTGCTTTAAAAAATGTTCCAACTTAAGCTGCAATAAAATTAGTAAGTCTTGGCACACCTTGAATTTAAATTATAACAAACAGCAAAACATTTTTAAATTTTGGATGGAGTGGTGAGGGGATAGAACCACTATCAGGTGTTTATTGCTGTGGAAAGTGGGAAAAATAGTGCTCGGCCCTTAATTGAATACTTCAAAGGGTAGGAATGTAAACAACAGCAAACCCCATTATGTTTGTTATGGCAGCTACAGGCATTTCTAAGATTGGCAGCTTCAATTTTTATTCTTACTTACACAGCCTTCAAGTATAATAGTGTAACCATTCAGTTATAATGGTACTGAAGGGCACCATAATATCTGAATGGTTGAATGTCTGCCTGCATACGTTTGTAAACAATAGCAGAGCAAGAATCCAGATACTACTGCCAAAAGGGTTATTCAAGAATCAAATCCCCCCAGTGTTACTGCAGGAAAAGGTAAAAAAAACAGTGTTTTAGTTATTGTATTTTAATAAAATAGTATATTTAGAGTATATTTTTGTTACTTAAAGTTTTTTTTCCATTTTAGGCATGGAAGTATGAAATTCCTTCTTTGGTGAACCAATAGGACACATTGCTTACATCCCTAGGGCTTAGTTGACTAATTGGATCAACACAACTCCAACTCCAGAAATTCTAAGCTTTCAATGGGCTTCAATCACAAAAAATAAATGAGCTTGTATTGCTCTAGCAGACTCAAAGCTGCTTATCATAGCCACAAATGATTGACAGATGTTCAAGCAGACTGATTCATTCTGCACCAATCTTACAGAAATCACAAGACGGATTTAAAGGAAACCTGAACTAAGAAAGTATAGTGGCTGCCATGCTGTAGATTCCTTCTAAAAATACTAATTTCCTGGCTGTCACCATGCTCCTTTCAGTATGTTCTAAGCAGGGGCGGACTGACAACTCATGGGGCCCCTGGGCAATAGGGGATCATGGGGCCCTTGTGTTTTTACCCACAATCAAACCACACCCAAAAAAGCCTATGAAAGGTACCAGGGGCATCTCATGGGGCCCCCTACTGACCGTGGGCCCTCGGGCAGTGCCGAGTTCCCAAATGGTCAGTCCGCCCCTGGTTCTAAGTATCCTAGAACAAAATGCAGTTTTTTTGCTTTTTCCATCTGCATACCTGCAATATCTCAGAAGGTACTGAAGCCAGAGATAGATAGGCAGCTAGCCTGTTCATAAGTTTGCAGTGAAAGCCTCAGCATTACTCTCAATACCGATTTATTTTAATTATCTATTTTACCACATTCAACAAGGAAAGCCTTAGCAGGCTGGAGATTTAGCAAAGAATATCTTCCTGTAATAATGCTAATGAAACCACACATTTCCATTGCAAAAAAATAAGCCTTTTTTGTTGCTGTGATTACCAGACATTAATACCAGCTCAAATTGGATTTTTTCTGTTCTAAAGTACAACCTTCTTGACCTTCCTTTAAAGGGAGCGTGGAGGGTCAATGGAGCGATCTTGTGAGCATCAAATGTAGTCTACCATCAGAAGCAAAAGGCTAAAATGTAACTAATAGATTGTGATGTGAATGATTCATCTTGTGGCTTTGAAAATAAACTACAAATGCTGAAACGTCTATTGGCTGTTATTTTGATTTTTAAAAGCCACTTTATCTCTGTATATATTTTGTGTACCTATAAACAAGCACTTTGGTTTCCTTCCATGTCTTTAATATTTCTGTTATCACCAATGTGATTATGGCAAACGCCTGCAGAGTCAAAACAACACAAACTGATATTCCAACGCAATTGTTTATACAAATTTGAATTAGTTTCTGTTTCTAAAATAGTGTCAAAGTAAAATTTCTAAACAAGGGAATTTTTTAAGTGCTAATGCTGTGGTAAAAAAAATCATCATATGATTGTCAGCAGAAAACGCTTACTACTGTTTGTAGGACTTGGGGGGGAGGGGGGCATAATTATGGCTAGTCCAAGCAAATTTTATTTATATATATATTAGTGGTACACTGAAATGAAAATTCTGGACCGACACTGAACATTCAGGATGCACTTGGCCGAAAACCGAAATAGACAGTTTAAAAATGTTTTATATATATATATATATATATATATATAATTGTATTATGTTCAAAGTTTAATTAATAATTTAAATGAATATGAATTTACAAAATACAAACCAGTAACATAAAATAACTTTTATTGCAAGTAACACACAAATATTGGACAGAAAATAAAATTAAATGTACATACAATAAAAAAAAAATAAATAGGGGGCGTTTTTCCATTGAAGTCAATGGGATGGGATTTTGCATTAAAGTCACTTATCATTATCAGTGCTTTGTTTCACCTTTTTATCGGCAAAACACCGATAACCCTATTTTCAGCCGATGGCAGCCGATATATCGGTGCATCACTAAGACAGTAATATATATATATATATATATATATATATATATATATTAAAGTGATACTAAACTCAGGACCCTGCATCCACTATATCTGGTCTCCCACAGTACACAGAACATGGAAATGCAATTATTTTAGTAAATATAAACTGCTAAATACCTTTTCCCATCAGCAGTTAAAGCAGTCTTGTGACTTCAGCAGAGCACTGGATAAAGCTTGTAGGAGGAGTTTTCTTTCTGCTGTAGGAGGATGTGAGACCGCTGGCCCTCTGTCTGGACAGTGCTGATTGGTCCTGTGCTGATCCCATGCACCCTCCCAAAGAAAAAAAAAAACCCTCTAGCAATACACACCAAACTGAGCATGTGCATGTGACTACGTATTCAGCCTGTATCAGGTGGACATTTCAACAAGAGGAGGAGCAGAGAAGAAAGCATCAAACAGCCTTTTTACACAATGCAAATGATTAACCGCTTAAATTCCAGAGTGAGTAACAAGCATGCTTTACTGCATATTCAGCCTGATTGTACTGTTGTGGGTTTAGTAACACTTTATTGTGCCTGTATATATTAGAATAATTTGTCTTGCTTGTCCAGCCATTGCATTCAGAGGAAGGGGCCAGCACTAGCATCCAGTCAGGCTCTGCTGCAGTGCACATGTGCTGCTCCTTCATTGTCCAATTAACAAGCTGTGGGTACGGTTGGTCTATACCAGGGGTGTCAAACTGGTGGCCCTCCAGCTCTTGCGCAACTACAAGTCCCATCATTCCTTTGCCTTTGGGAATCATGCTTGTAACTATCAATCTTGCAATGCCTCATGGGACTTGTAGTTTGGCAACAGCTGGAGGCCCGCCAGTTTGACACCCCTGGTCTATACAAAGCCGTGCTTGTGTGTCAGTGGAGGTCAGAGGCTCATCTGTGCTGTCTGGCGGCATCTAGACCAAAAACCTGAATAAGCAGAATTACAAATCTTGTAAAATAGTTCTAATACTTATAATACTGAACTGCTTTTCTCTCTTTGAGCTTTTAAAAGGAACGCCAATTGTTTTAGCATCTCTTTAATCTTTTTGTGTTTCCTTCCTGTTATGTACAAAAAATTTGTTAATCTTGCAGTAAAAACAACAAACCTTTTTTGTGCTATTTTGTTAATTTTTACACCATTTTACAGTATGAAACACACATAATGGCCAAATAAAATATGTACATTTTTCTGTACTATTAGCCCTTGGTGTTCCCAAGAGTCTCCAGTTTTCTTAAAGATGAATTCCAGGCATCGTATACTTTTGGACCAGTTTGGCCAATGCATCTGGAAGGTGGAAATCAATAAAGTAGACACCACTACTCCAGTGATCTCCATTTGCTTCCGGGTTTCGACGATCAGCTGACCTGCAGCTTTTTGAACACAAAAGATCAGCTGCTTAGCATGGGTGTCATTCAGAGAATACTATGCACTTTCTGAATAAATGCAAAGCATTCTCTGATTGGACAAGGTGGAGAGGCAAGGCAGATACATCACGCTTTTTTCCTCATCAAATTAGAAAATACTTTTCACTCAACGAGACCATGTAAAGTACTCCCTGTATAGCGTTCATGCTGAGCGTCTGACCTGTTTTCACTGAGGCCAGGCGCTCAGCACATGACCCAAAAGCAAGTGGATATCACTGGTGTAGCATTGTCTATTTCAGGGATTTCCAGATTCCAGGGCATCTGCTAGGTATGGTGTATGCATAGTTACATGCTGGTCCAATGCAACTTTGTATAAAATATGTATATCTGGAATCTATATTTACCCCTTGATGCCGACGTCACACAAATATGCGGCCTCACAGAACTGTACTTTTTTCCGTTTTGCCGCATATTTGCGTACCTGTCTTTCTATTGGGAGCGCACCGCACAGCGCACTCCCAGCACAAAGACCGCGGGTGTCAGTGAGAGCTCCTGGTCCCGATCGTTAGGATTCCCGATTCCGGGTCACATGCTCGCTGTTAGAGCCTGCGATTGGCTATCATAGTGATCAGTCACTGTACAGCCCGGCCCCCTTGTGCTTTTGTTTTTCTCTCTATGACTGGAGGAGAGAGAAACATTGTAAATGTTTGTAAAAAAGAAAAAGATAAATGAATATTAAAAAATAAATAAATAAAAAAAATAATAATAAAAATACATAGATCAAGGTTTGATCTAGTTCAATGCCAGGGTAAGTGTTTGGATCAAGGTCAGGGTCAAAGGTCAAGGTCAAAAGGTCAGGGTCAAAGGTCAAGATTTAAAAAAAAATGTGGTATCAGTGTCAGTGTGTTTTAGGTAAAAACAAAACAAAATGCGCACTATTGTTTCTGGGCTGTACTACGGGTACAAACAACAAATAACACACATATATGGTATCGCTGCGATCGTCAAGAGCTGGAAAATTTATTTTGGGTTGTTCTTTGATGGTAGGTTATGGTAGTAACAAGAAACACACAGTTAAATTTAAAAAATATTTTTTTTTTACTATTTTGGGACAGTTTTCCTTTGATAATAAAAAAAAAATCAGGACATATCCATTTCCATTTACCACTAAATTAAAGCCCTATTTGTCCTGAAAAAGAAATGCAGTATAATTCACCTGGATGTATGAAGTAGTTTTGATGACATGTACGGTTTTACTAACACATGTCAACGTTGCAAATTTGTGCTTAGGCATTTAGATATGTTTTACCCTTAGGCGTGATGGGGTTAAGCTGTAATTATTTTTGTATGGACTGTAAACCCTATCTTGGGACTTGCTTGGATAGAATCCTTGCAGCTGCCTAAACATCCTAAACAGCAATGCATGAAAAATGAAACTGTAGATAGAAATGTTCGCTAATGGGGTTGGAGCAAAAGTCTTTGACTGTATGTAGATTGATCAGAAAGCGTCTTGTGAATAAGCCTTCATCCTTGTGGCCACTGCTGTGTAGTTTGAGGTCACAACTTTGGATCATGCACCTTCTTGCTGTAATTCTTCTAGATCATTAACTCACTGTAGATACTGAGACTGTAGCACCTGACTCATGGACAATATCCCATAGTACAAGTACCTAACTTTCCACTGCTGACAACTGCTCATGTGAATATACCCTGCAGCACAATCAGCACCAATTTTCTTTCTCTTTTTTTTTCAAATAAGAAATGCAATGACTGGTGGCTTATGAGTGCTGAAACAGAACTGGATTCCGGCTGTTTCAAACTGAAGTTCATAAGAGTCATTTTTTTCACTCAGCACAGCTTGTACTTACTCTACGGAATAGCTCATTTACACCCTTCCCTAGGAGAATATTTATTCCAAATACCATCCTGAGCTGTGTGCTTTCTATTTGTCCATGTGATTAGCTGGTCACATGCTTGTGGTCTGAACAGTCACACTGATGCTATACCTGCTTGTTTTGATTGGACCAAAATGACTTTAGTCTACCCTTAGACATTGGAGCGTAGCTTGACGAAACAGGTGATTTTGAACGAAGTGTTTATTGGTCTAAAGTTGGTGATACACATTAAAATCTGGCTGTACAATACGATCGTAACTTTAGAAAAATTAATTGTACAGATCTTTCTTTGATGAACGTTGCCAAAAAAAACTGATCTGTAGACCTAGAATTTTTTATCTGCTATCTTTAGAGCAGGGGGTGTCAAACTGGCGGCCCTCCAGCTGTTGCCAAACTCTCATGAGTCTCATGAGGCATTGCAAGGCTGACAGTTGCAAACATGATTCCCAAAGGCAGAGGCATGATGGGACTTGTAGTTTTGCAACAGCTGGAGGGCCACAAGTTTGACACCGCTGCTTTAGAGTTATTAATATTCTTGCATGTCTGTTTTGGCATCTCCAGACTATTACACAATCATACACAGTTCCCATGTGGACTTCCTATATCTGGAAGTATATTTACATATTATGTGGCACAATCACGTGTGTGTTATATGAGTGAATGTTTAAAGTGTTTAAAGTGGTTGTAAATGCAGAAGATTTTTTCTTAACCTTAATGCAATCTCTGCATTAAGGTTAAAAAGCTCTTGTGATCATCTCCCCGCAAATATATACCTGAGCCCCATCTCAATCTCATGCTGTGCCCAAGAGTAGCAGCAATGTTCTCTCTCTCCCCTCACTGGTCATGGAGTCAGCAGCAAGAGCCATTGGCTCCTGATGCTGTCAATCAAATCCAGTGAGGAGAAGGTGGGCCTTGCAAGGGGCTTGAAATGAGGGCACTCAGAAGGGAGGAGGCCTAGAGCCTTTTCTTTCTTGTGTCCACTTCCTGGTTTCCCTGAAGACACTGATGACATAGCCTCATGCACATTGAAGACCCCTGGGAAGGCAACGTCACCGGTGCCTTCAGCAAGATCTAGTACCCATTCTGCAAGATCTCAAGAGAACTCACAGCATTGTCGTACTATGCATGAACAAGATGGAGCAGATGATGCTGTCAATCAAATGCAATGAGAATGTGGGGCTTGCAAGTGGCTTGAAATGGGGTCACTCAGAAGGGAGGAGGCCTAGAGCCTTTACTTTCTTGTGTACATTCCTGGTTTCCCTGAAGACACTGATGACGTAGCCCCATGCACATTGAAGACCCCTGGGAAGGCAACGTCATCGGTGCCTTCAGCAAGATCTCATACCCATTCTGCAGGATCTTGAGAGAACTCACAGCATTGTCATACTGCGCATGAGCTAGATGGAGCACATGATGTCATGCGGTTCATCTCAGACATTCACCACATGGCGTTACATTCATCTTTTTAAAAAAAGCTTTTCTTCAAGAGCTTGCAAGTGCTCCATCTTACGCATATGCACTAGGACTATATTGCGAGCTGATGCACAACACAGCCATCCAAAGCAGTGTGCTTACAGTGAAGCACACTGACACAGCCCCCTAGTAAAATACTCCCTGCACACAGTTAACCCATTGATCGCCCCTCATGTTAACGCCTTCCTGCCCAGTGCCATTAGTGCAGTGTCAGTGCTTTTTTAGCACTGATTACTATATTGGTGTCACTGGGGATGTCAAAGACACCAGGTCAGTTCCCCCCAGTGTCAGAATGCTCGCCACAGTCCCGCAGTCCTGCTATAAGTCGCTGATCGCCGCCATTACTAGCAAAAAGAAAAGAAAATTCCAGTATCTATACCGCCATTTGTAAACACAATAACATAATTTACACATTGAGATAGCAAAATGAAATGTAGACACACGCATAAAGGAAATTAATGCAGATGGGGATCTCTGGGACAATTCGCTTTCCCCATCCACATTAGATGTGGATGGGGGATTACTCCCACTGCACAAAAGCGATGGCACTGATCGTTTGGGAAATCTTGGCAGGCTGGTTGTACACAAGTTGATCCATAGATCAACTAGCCCACACATGGATCAAAATTTGGCTGGTCTCTGTTGAGCTGTTGAATTTCAGTTCATGTATGATGGCTTAACTATACACAGAATTTTAAAGAAGGAGGATTAAACAATTGAGAACTGAAACTTGTTTTGTGAATTGAAACTTGAAACACTTTTTTGTTTTTACACTTTAAGCCCTGGTTCACACTGAAGCGAATTGTCATGCAATTTGTTCAAATCGCATGACAAATCACATCCAATGATAGACAGACATCTGTGCAATAAGTTGCACAGATGTGTATCAAGTCACACCTGAAGTTGCACTGCCATCTGACTTTGAAATTGTGCAACTTCAAGTGAAATCACACGATTTCAAAGTCAGATCTAGTGTAAACTGGGGCTAAGTGTATTTTTTAAATGGAAGCAGTGTAAGAACCTTAATTTGAATTGGCATCAGCCTCTTGCAATCCCTTGCACAGCAGAGCTAACACTGATAGGGTGAGAAGCAGTTCAGGGAGTCAATCAGTTGCGATACAGAGCTTATGTGCTGACAGGGAACATGCTAACAAGGAGAGAGAAAAGTGAGTGAGATGAGCCCAACAGGTCTTCTTCTTCTTCTCTTTTGCTGTCCAATCACAGGCTGGAGGAGGGACAAGACCTGTTAGTGTACATTAATATCAACAACAAAAAAATCAGGTCTCCTATCAGAAAGAGCTGTGCTGTCTGGCAAAATTGATTAAACCACAGAAATGGTTGGACAGAAATACAAATTCTTTGACAAGTAAAACAGCTCCTATATATGTATTTCACCTTTGCTTTTCGCCGTTTGTCTGGAGTTCAGCTTTAAAGCAATCTAAAATGGTGAACTGACCATTGTGACCCTTCAATAACTGCACCTACTGTATATTCCATTATAATCATATAACAATGTCTGTGTATGTAGTGGTTCTTCATCAGGCACACTGGCTGATTCTATGCTTTCCACTATTGTTTGCCCAGGAATAATGTGGTGTGTGCAAAAAGAATGTTTGTATTGTTAAAAAAAACAATCAGACCTTATATGTGTTCTTAACTGCTCTTCTCATTGCTTGGAAAATGTCAAGATGAAGTCTTCCATGTTACTTTAAATTTAGTGCATCTTACAGTTTCTAAATAATCTGAAATATAATATGTTAAACTTTATTATTTTAAAAGTTGTATGATCTATTCAGCTAATTAATATTCTCATAATATCATGTGGGCCTAGGGAAGTTGCTGTGGTTGCCTTGCCCTTGAGTTAAACTGAAATAAACAACAACTTGCTATTAACAATCCATGACTGCTACTTAATTTGAATATTAATGTCAGAAAATAATTATTAAAGCATAGATTTAATTTAAACATTTTAGAAAATCAGCATAAGAGACGGTACTTGCATTCAGTATGAATTCTCCCTTGTGCTACTGGCTGCTTTCTTCATTGAAATCCAAAGTTCTCTGTCCTCATCCCCCCCCCATAACCTCACAGCCGCAATCTTTCTATTCTGTGGGTATGAATACGAGCACCGGATCTGTTACAGACACTTGTCAAGAGTGTCTGAATATGCCCCCCTCCTTCATTCATAGAAGCTGTACTTTCGCTTCCATCAATGAAAAGCACTCTATGAATGGAGGACAGGTATATGAATAAAAAAGCCTGCCTCCTCAATTCACAAAGCAGACATACTATTATCAATAGAACACAATAAACAAAATGTAACAGAGTTTTATAATTATAGAAAAAACAAAAAACTATATAATTTTTCATTTATATCTGACTGGAACACAGAAGCCGCAAGGTAGCAATCCACAACTGTGGATTAATGTGAACCTTTCAATAATTTGACTGCACAAATACTGTACTTTTTATCACTAAAAAACAATCCTTGCCCAGTGACTTTGCCTAGGTTGAGATGTTCTCACCATTCTGCTGCATGTAGGAAGAAGAATTTCCTCTTTCTCCAGGTATGCTGAATGAAAAAAACTATAGAGTTCAAATAAAAATTTTCCCAATTTTGTTGGGAAGATTTCATTAAATATGGGTTAGGCAAAGGTCTCCAAAAGGTCTGTAGTATACCTAATATATGTGGCACCTGGGGTAGTTCCCCAATACACCTACATTATTTTCAGTAATGAAAATGAGATTCAACATGTGGGGGTGGAAGCAGAATTGCACTACTTTATTCAAAGAGGGTGGATGGAGCATATTGATCCACATGATAGCTAGAAACTCAGAGACACTATTTCCTGCATAGTTGCTAACATTTGAAAATAAATAGGAGGGACATCTTGAAGGGATGAGGTGGATGAAAAAAATGAGGAACTCATAGCACTCCACCTGCCAAACACTTGGATGTATAGGCAATAAAGTGGATGTGGTGTATGGCTTGTAGTGTGAGATAAGTGCCATCAATGGTGTCAGTAGCCCCCTTGGTGTAGGTGGCCGCAGTAATCCCTTCTTGATTGGTGATCAGTGATAGTAATATTAAATCCCAAGCACTGTTGGTCAGTGTTTAGCTGTAACAATATTTCCTCCAGCAATGGTGGCCAGTGGCAGGCTGCACCAATAACACTCCTAGTACTGGTGGTCAGTGTCAAGCTGTAACTAACCCCCCCCCCAGCATTAGGGGTCAGTGTCAGGCTGCACCAATAACCCACATGTATTGGTGGTCAGTGACAGGCTTCAACACTTTAACAATAACCCCCACCATTGGTGGTCAGTGGTAGGCTGCACCAATAACCCTCCTAGTATTGGTGATCGGTGTCAAGCTGTAAACTACCCCCCCCCCCCACCATCATTAGTGGTCAGTGTCAGGCTGCACCAAAAACCCCTGTGTATTGGTGGTCAGTGTCAGGCTGCACCACAAACCCCTGTGTATTGGTGGTCAGTGTCAGGCTGCACCAAAAACCCCTGTGTATTGGTGGTCATTGTCAGGCTGTAACAATAACACCCCAGCACTGGTGGTCAATAGTAGGCTGCACCAATAACTCATCAGTATTATTATTTATTATTATTGGTCAGGTTCAGGCTGTAACAATACTCACCCCCCCCCCCCCCCAGCATTAGTAGTCAGTGGCAGGCTGCAACAGTAGCCCCCCGAGCATTGGTGCTCAGTGGTTAGCTGTAATAATAACTCCACTGGCATTGGTGGTCAAAGGCAGGCTGCTCTAATACTCCCCAGTATTGGTAGTCAATGCCATGTTTTAACAAAAAAAAATGGCGTTAGTGGTCAATGGCATCCTGCAATAACCCCCTAGCAGTAGTGGTCAGTGGCAGGATGTAATAATAATCCACCCCAGCATTGATGGTCAGTGGTAGGCTGTAACAATACAGTAACCCCTCCAACACAATGAAGTATTGACAGGGTTTCTCACCAGGAAGCTGCCATTGGGATTTTATTATCTATCTATCTATCTATCTATCTATCTATCTATCCTGAAAGTAG